TGCTAGGTAAGAGCTATTCAGGGAGAAAGAGCTGACAGGGTTACAGAACAGATCAACTGCTCTCTTTCCCAAAGATTGTTTTTCATCTTTGCATGGCTTTTTCCATCAATTTAAAGTTATTTCAAATAAAACAAAATAAAAAAATACTGGTTGCTATTTGCCTAGAAGGTGTGTCACCTACAAGCTTCTGTTCACATTAGTAGGGGCATGTGTTGTTTACCTACAGTGAGGTAATAACAAGTACCATAAAGGAACAGTAGTTCTCTTCTTCACTCTTTTCTTCCATCTTCCATTTCTGACAAACTGCTTACATATCCCATGCAGTCAGGCAAATTCCATACATTCTTACCTATTTCAGTCAAATTTTCACTTAGCTGAAAAAAGTTTTTCCTTGCTGTCCACTTTTTAAGGGGGAGCCTTTCCTCTTAACCTTGCCATCCTGATGGGTAGACCTGACAGCAAAAAAAACTCAATGCAAAAAAAAAAAAAAAAAAAAACAAAAAAAAACACAATAAAATATATTTATCTTACCTTCTCTGAGAACTCCGAAATACCTTTAATCTTTCTTTCCATGGTCCAGACTATAGGGAGCTGAAGACCTTTTGGTTAAGGAGAGCTCTGTATCATCCAGTCAAGACAGCAAAGCCGACAGTATCAGGTAATTACGCAAGTATTCTGCTGTCAGATTGTCTGAGCTGTAAGATGAAACCAGCTAGTTATCTGGGTGCACCTTGTGAATAAAATAGAGGAGCTCTTCTCCTACATATGCCCAGCAGAGTTTGAGTCGGGAGGAAGTAAAAAGCTCCTGACAAATAACAGGATTTCTAGTAAGTCTGCAGTAGAATTGAAAAAGACGAGTAGCGAAAGCTACTTGGTTTTAGAAAACACAGCTTCACTAAATTGAAAGTGTGTTCACCTCACCATTGTTTTTAATTAAAAAGTCAAAATAACTCATTTGGGCTTTTATATTTCAATTTTATAATGCCAAAATTCATTAAGCATTTCACATATACCATCATGTTTTCTACATACCTATATGTCTTCACTTAGTGCAGTAGTCCTATTGCATTGTCTCTGTGTTTCTTGTTCTCTAAGTTTCTTCACCATCATTTTGTTGTGCTTCATATGGATGTACAAAGCAGTATATATCATCCACTCATTGTAATTAGCATTAATACAGCACTACCCACTTTCAAATTCATAAAACATTTTTGCCAACTCTACTTTGGAGGATGCTATAGATTTGCAGTATCTTAGATATCTTTGAGATTTGCATTGTCTCTGAAAGACATTTTGACCATTTATTCCTAGTCATAACAATATGAAACATGCAGATGCCCACTGAAACACATAATCATATTTTTCAACCAGCTCTAATAAATGTACATTCGAAAAAATAAATCACTGTAGTGGCATATAGGTAAAATATTATTATTTTTCAGATATGTATGACAAACTTTTACATGAATGTTTTGAGTTGTATTCCTTAAGCTTATTTATATGTGAGATACTGCCACATTTGAGTAGACGGTTGAAGTCGCCACACTGACCACTCTACAGCTCTGATTTATCTGCCACATTAAATCTATCTTTCTCAAAATCCCATTTGCCTACTTTGTAGATTTATAGTGTTCTCACTAGCTTTGTGCTTCACCAATGGTGCTGCAAGAATATCAAACTATCAGTTTAATCTTGACACTTTAAGTGACAGTTTTACTGCAGACTGGACCACTTACTTGTACCCATTTCCACTGACACAACCGTAATTAGATGGCCTGGCCAGTCAGTGCGTAGCACCTTGCTATGTGCTCCCCCCCATGTATGAGTCTCTAGCTTCTTACAGATTTGTAATGTTTCTCTGCCCTTGTTACCTAATAATGCTATCTACTATCACCTCAGTATTTTTTATATGAATTCTTGCTACAGATTTGATCCCCTTGCAAGCCATGTTCCTTCAAGCACAACCTATGCTTTGATTAAATTTTAACATCCAGAAGATGTAGGAGGAGTCTAGTACAATTTTGTTGTACTAGATCATCCTACACATAAACTTTTGCCTTGTCTTATGGGCACATGGCCAGAAGAGAATACAGTTACAGTTTGCATCCCAAATATACCTAAAGTTTGACTCAGAAGTAAAAAAATACTTTGTGCTCTGTTTTGTACGCTTAAGTACATGCCTTCACTAATCATGGTACCCCAACTTCTTGGTTCATGAATTTCCCAATTAATTTCTCAACAAAATCACAGCTGAACGATGCATTCCAGTTCATCAGGAGTGAAGTTGAGTTACATGTGGCTTCGTTGGTATTGGTAATTGAAAATAACTGACCAATTATCAACACCCCTATGAAAGAGCCAAAAGCATCATTCTCACCAAGCACACCCAGTATATTTAGACATACTTCAAAAAATGCGTATCACAGGCTAAGAAGGGCCTTTACCCATTTGTCTCTTGGATTTGCACATGCTTTTCAACCCCACTTTGCATGGAAGGTGGAAAAAGGAAGAGATGAGGAACAAAAAAACAGTCTTCAACTTATAGCTAGGAGCTACCATCAACTGAACAGTAACACAATAAATAACTTATTAGTACCTGCCCAGCAGATAAAATGTGGCAGGTTTTCTATTTTAACAGAAAAATTAAATCAGCAGAAGGTTTGCTATTCCTTACAAAAATCACTGTCCATGAAATGCTAAGTTATTTCGTTGCATTGGGCTGGAGTAGGAAGAAAAAAATATTAATAAATGAATAAATCTAATTATGATTCCACATATGAAGAAAAAGTTTTCTGTCAAAGATCCCAAGCTAATGAAATGCTGCAGTGTCTTGCTGGGAATGGTGTGAGATTGCTCTAGGGAAGGAAAATGAGAAAAAAAAAATAAAAACAAACAGACAAACAAAACACAGAAAGAATATGCACAAATAGGATTCAATAATAATACTCCAGAAGGCACAGGAATCACTGAGGACTGGTCTCAATACAGCAAGAACAGGAGACTGGAACTGAAATATCAAGTTGTGCTGAGACTTTGAAGGGAAAGGTCTCATATCCATTATCCAAGTGATATCCAAGCTGTAATAAAAAGTCTCATTGGCATTTTGAAAGAAAAAATAATATGTTTTTTTAAAAAAATATATAAATGGAAGGGAAAAAGTTCCTAAATGACCACCTAATACTGTATCTCACATTATTTAATAAAATTGCACATGCTGAGTTAGGAGCTGAGGACCAGAGATGTAGAAGAAAAACTTACCTACACAAATGCAGAACAGCCCCACCAAAGTAATCAGGATTCAGATTTTCCTAGAAGAGGTCATGATTTTGAGATCTGTCAGAACTTTTAACTGACAACATAAGGTTACTTACAAAAATGTACCTCTGATCTTCCCCCCCCCCCCTCCATTGACGTTGGTTATAAAAGAAATATTCAACTAGAATAAGAGGAACTAAAAAAAAAAACCCATTAGTCATACCTCTGTGGATGAAGCATTGGGGGTTTGTGGCAATGGAGCCATGGTTGACAAGAGGAAGGACAAGTTACAAAAGCAACACAAAACTTTTAACAGACCTGGCCTAGGAATACAAAGAGCCACCCACAGAATTTCATACATTGATCTTCACTTTCTTATTGCACTCCCCTTCGTTGAATTCACTAGCTTGGACTCCGGGCTTTTGTGCACCAAGTTCACATACAGCTCTGGTTCCTAACATCTCCACCGATGCCTACTTATTCCCAAAGTAGTCTTGGGGAACCTCGCCTTCAGATGCTTTAACACAAATCCATTAATTGTGTCTGTACCATTGTGTTGGTACCTGATTTAGCCTGCAACCTCTTTGAGCCCAAACAGGAGCCTGCACTAGTGCTAGTAGGTGTGAGGCAGAGCTCTGCAGTTTTGCCTAAAAGTTGGGGGAATCCCTAGGGAATATGCTGGGTAATTACTCCTCCCTAGGAAGCTAATAGCTTCTTACATAATTTCCTTAATATCAGAGACATGGAATCCACCTGCTGGAATGAAAGCAAATTAATCTTGCTCCTTCAGAGCTTCACCCACAAACAACTACCAGTTCTCAGATTTGTGGAGCCACAAGCAGATTGGTTAAGTTCTAGCAAGTTTTGAAATCTGAAAATAACAGCCTTACACTCATGAATACCATTTAAAAAACCCAACACCTCTCAGCTCCTCTCAAAAACACCAAAGATGCTTTATGTTTAAATTAAATTAAAATTAGTGATTCTATCTCTGTGACTAAAAGGTACTAAAAGTCAGGGTATAGATTTATCTGCAATGCTCAGGTGCTGATAATGAGAGGACTACACCTACACAGCCTACTTGGTCACATCCCTGAAGTCTGTTTGGACCATGTAATAGTACCTAAAAAGCTGAGCAGCCTTCCCCATTCAACCTAACCCATGAAGCCCCATTACTTTTATCAGGCATCATTTGTACTGCAATAGTGTCTTCAGACCTCCATCAAGAGATCCTGCATCAGAAAAAAACTCATGAAGCTAGAAGTCATAGGATACTACAGGAAATTCATAAAGGGAAGGAAGGCACTGCAAATTTGTCCTCTACAGATAACCCTTTAAACTGAGAGCAGACTGTGTTACCGTAATCATAGTCCTTCTCAGTGGATGAGCTAGAAGCTTGCCCTGTAACAGTATGTGTAAGGTTTCTCCTAAATAAATAGAGAAACTGGTAAGAGAAATTCTCTCAAGTCTGATTAAGATGGAGTTGAGTTAAGAACGGTTCTTTACATCAAGCAAAAGCTTCATATATAGCAGCTGTCTGGGGGAGAGGAAGGAATTATATCCTACAGAGGTCATAGCTACTCATAAGGCAAAGTGAGCAAGGTGGAAAGTGGCTTTAGCAGGTGTGAATGCACTTGCATAATTGTTTCATCTGGAGGCTCAGAAGCAAAGGAATTAATTTCAAGGGGAAGTCACCTTTTGTAATTAAAAAAATAAACATATCACATAGAGAATGCAGATTTTAACATTTATTTTTTTAAAATTTCAATTTCCATGAGCAGACTTTGTTTAACAATAGTTCAAGAAGCATGATAATGCTAACTACATTTAAAAGGAAACATTTTGGCACAAGACAGTGCCAGGGAAGTAACAGAATAAACAGAATAAATAACCCACTTTACACATGTTTGGACATGCTGAACAAAACAAAAATAACGTGCAATAAAATTAATAAAATTCATACTCTGTACAACAGCTTAAGATAGTCCTTACTAAATAGTACTCGTCATATTAGTAAAAATATAAACTTTAACAAAATGCTTAATTCAAGCAAAACAGCGATGCAATATGAATCAACTCAAGAAGTTCAACAGTTCCAAAGAAGCTAGAGGTGGTGGTGAGTAAGCACACAACAGTGTACAAGACGACAATCTCAACTGAGAGGTTGAACCTTGTGGTTCTTCAGCCACGTCTCTGTTTAGTTCCCTGCTGGAAACCATATCACATGGACATCTTCTTGAGCTTATGGCTGTTAAAAGAATGAGAGTACATAAATAATACTGTCAGCCACAGGCCAATTACAAGTTTCTCTCTCCCAAGTACAGCTCAGGTAGAAAAAGTGGCACATGACATGGCTGCCCCTGAGAAGACTCAGAAAGGAATAGCCCTGTCTGGCAGGAGTTGAAAAAACAAATGTGTTCAGCATTGCCATCGGAAGTGGCATTCAGGAGATGTAAGAAATGGGCTTTCATATGTGCTTTGTTTTCATCAGCCTAGTAGTATTTAGATTTTTAGATTCCTACCTCAGGAAAAGAAGATGCTTCTTCACCCAGCCTTCCTTAGGATTTACACAGGCATTCAGCCCACTGTAGGTGTGGAAACTGGAAAAGAAATAATGATAAAGAGATCAGTATATCATTAGAAATCCTTGCTAGTAAATACTGTGAAGATGCATTTGGTCAAAAACACGCATCATAGTTACTCTATATAATAAACAATAGCAACTCCTTTTGTAAATGCCAGTTAGATATGGGATGCTCCACAACCCCTCCAATACTATATGAACAAAAAGAAACTATTGAAATTTAAATGTAATATCTGCTTCAGTCTCAGGGATCATTTTTTGCACCATAAAGTTGTCTTCAATTTATCAGAACTATTGAGACAAAGAATTTTGCTGAATGCCAGAAATAATTTGTGAGACGAAGGAGAATAGTTGCTGTAAAGCTAAGGTGACAGATCAACATTTAGGAGGGCTAAAACCTTGTGGGAAAAATATTCCAATCTCTGTGAATTAAGAAAACTCTTGTTGCTTATGTGTCTGTTGACAGATTTTGGCAAGGGAACATACTGTGTTGGCTAGAGTGGCTCTCAGCTGGAGACAAAGTGTGTCTTTGCATAGCTGATCCCTAAACAGTCAGATTTATTATTTACATTGTATGGCTGATAGTAGTCCCTATCAACTAGAGGTTGTTTATTTTCTTCACAGGTATTATATACAATTTATTCAATTAATTTAGCATATTGAAAAAGCAAGAAAAATCATGTTTATATTGTTCAAATAATAGTTTCTGCCCAAACAAACATCCTGAGGTTAATGTCTAAAAAAAAACAGAGGATCTTCTGAAAAGTAACTTACATGATCGCATGGATATCGCAGACTTCACTGGAGAGCTGCTCAGTATAACCTTTCAGGGCCCACCGAGGCAGACGTACTTTGGTGTAAGACAGGCAGCAATCCTGGTTGCTTTGTGCTGGAATGAAGAAAAACAACAAAGTAAATAAAACCCATTTGGACCATGCTGTCCTGCTGCCTGGGCTACTCGCTGTTCATCCCCGTGACTCTCCAGCTCCCCATCGACATAAGAGGAGGAGTAAACAGCATACTTTGCTGAAACAATTCCCTCCCATCTCACACTGGTGCTGCTGGCAGCTGTGAGCACTCACAGCCCGGCATGGCTGGCGCGACGCAGAGTGGCCCAGAGAACCGCTGCCTGGGACCAGGCACCGGAGCTCACCCACCTTCGGCGCGGCCGCACAGGAGCAGCGCCAGGAGCCCCAGCAGGGAAACCAGGACCAAGTTCTTGCTGCTAAAGACAGCCATTTCCACTCCACGCAGCAGCTGTGCTCCAGGGAGTGCTCGGCTGCTGCCTGCTTGTCCTGCCAGCCTTGCTGCACCTCCACCTGCTTATAAAGCGGTGGCAGGAGCCGCGGGAATTCACACGCGGGCGGGTTCCACTGTCATCAGCGGGTTTTCCCATGGCAAATTCCATCGTGCCCGATTTGGCCCCAGTGCACCTTCCTGGTGCTATAACCAGAGATAACAGCATGCTGGGGATTTTTTTTTTCTTTTTTTTTTTTTTTTTTTTTTAAGTAGGTTAGAAGATTCAGCCAAAAAGAAAAGGAAATAAAGGGCTGTGAGGTAATGGTTCTGTGGGTGAAGCATGTGTATTTTTAGGGGTAGGAGAGTGTGGGTTGTGAAATGAGGAAAGTCAAATGTAGGTAACTCTCAGTTACCTACAGAAACTGCTGTGCTCTAGTTTAATAAGCCCAGCTGGAGGGAGAGGGAGGTGGGCCTAACTCAGACATTCATTTCAGTATGGTGTGCTCACAGAAGCTGGGTAACTATCTGCAATGATACCAAAGCACTACATTAATATTTACAGGTTGGCCCATACAGTAACATCAAGCTTTCCAGATTACTACTTTCTGAGCTTGAGATCGTAGTACTGGTGAGAACATTTGAGCAACATGAAGTATTCATGGAAATGGATTTCTTTAGAGTTTCTTTCACCATATATTCACTGCCATCACCTTCTGCCAGTTTGTTACACATATGAGCTATTTCATCTGAAACAGTTAGCTTGAAAGCAACTTGAAATGGGGTCTATATTTTCTACTGAATCTGTACTGTCCATAATGCATCAATGCTGCTTCATAAGCAACAGCTGTAGCTTGTTACTTTCCCATGCCGAACTGTACCCAAGTATTGATTCCTGAACACTCAAGTAAAACATGCACAATCTTAAAACTACCTTGCATGACTCAAGAGAATCCCCCAAAGAGAGGCTTTCTTATCGCTGCAGGTACACTGTTTGAGCTGCTGTGGAAGTCTGCTACTTCCCAATGCTATTTAGTGACCTGCGTGAGATGAATGTGATGGCTGCAGGCCATGTCCTAGTCAGCTGGTGTATAGAGCTGCTACCAGCTCCAAGTGGTTTTAGAGTAACCTCAGCTTTAAGTAGCTTCTCTTCAAGTAAAGCTCAGGGACACAGTCATAGTCAGTTCATAATTACATAGCTTCTGTTCTTCGCAGACTGCCAGTACCTCTCACAAAGGGTGCACTCCTATTATTTCTTTCTAGAAATGTAAAAAATTTGAACTCTAGAACAGATTGTTACTCAGAGAAATTTATTTCTCTATATAATAGCCAGAATTTAGGGAAGCTCGTATGGCTGGGGTACATATGAGCGGCCTTGCAGGATGCACGGCGTCACATATGTTGGCGATGTTTCTCCCCAGAGCCACTGCCACTGGCCAAGGCACAGGAGACAGGCAGTAAAGATCCCATGCCCTGATGTACGCTGTTTTTTGTAACTGCTTAACAGATCATAGTGAAATGCTATAAAAATACATAAAGATCAATGCTCCCAGTGAGCAGCTAAACTGGTTTAAGGACTACCTGTCAGCATTAGGCAATGCTACAAAATAGCTAACTAGAATGATAACACTTGAAACGATGAAGGTTTGGCTTGATAGCTTTTTCCTTTCCATAAAGATAGGAGTAATTAAACATAAATCACTTAAACTATTTCTAGATTGACGGGTATCAAGGCTGACAATAAGCAATTCTCTATCTTATCAGCAGCACCACCTTTTGGATTTTGTTTTGGGTTTTTTGTGAGTGTGTGGTTTTTTTGTTTTGTTTTGTTTTGTTTTGTTTTTTTAAACTGACTGTCCAGTAACAACCTGGGATTTTTTATATACTTATTTTTTTAATCAGGTGTTCACACCATTCAGACTCTATCAAGAAACTGCCTGTAAGAAGATATGAAAATTAGGCATTGGGTTATCAACTTGCATTCCTCCACTTCCACCCTCCCATTCCACTCTAGTTTCAATACTAGGAAGGAAAGCATTCAGCTACTTTAGAAAGAGAACTTCTTGATATTGTCAAAATAATAACCATATCTTCTTATCCATGGATTAATATCAAGAGCATCAAAAGCACTAGGCATATAATTTTAAAAATTGCTAACAAAGCCCTTTAAAAAAAGAGATCAGTTTGTTTCCTGTCTTGGTAATGTACTTGTTACTCCCTATATTCATCTTTCCCCCATTAGTTTGGAGACCTGAGACCTAACCAATTAGGGTGATGATAATGTTTATTAATTAGGCAGCACATCTTTTAAAAAATATATAATTGCTTAATTGGCTAATAAAAACACCACTATTTTTAGCAATATTACTTCACAGTTATGTCACTTCAAGTAATATTGAGTTACAATTCTCTTGCTTACTATTAGTATTGATACGGTGGCTACATTAATATATTGGTTAAATTATTATAAAGAAAACTGAAAAATCACTAGTTAGCGCTATTAAATTACAATTCTGCTGCCTTACCTCCTGAGCTGAGTATTAAAGTACAAGTCTATCCTTCCTTACAAGTTTATCCCTTCCTACTCCCCAGTCCTGCACTGTCTTTCAGAGATAGACCTGGTGGAGAGTCTGGTAGGTTGTCCACAGGGGATGTCCCCAGCATCCCAGGGAACTTGGGCCCACAGCTTCACCACTGCCTGGAGGCAGCCGCACTCCTCCTATCACAAGACCTTCCCGTTTCTTGACCTCCTTCTTCATTTTATACCTTATTCCCTATTTTTTCATTTTCTTGAACCCACCTTTTAACCACCTCTGCATCTCCTTTCCTCTGCCCAAACTCCACTCAAATAAACAACTTATCCCAATTCCTTTTCGTCATTGATCCCAAATCTATTACACCCATATCCAACTTCAGTATTTCTTATGCTATTTGCTAGGCAATTACAGCTTAACATGTGATTCCTGATACTGCTATCTAGATGGAGGTGACCTTATATCTCAAGTCTGCCTTCTGACTGTAAAACTCTATTTCTTCTCCATTCAGTGCTTTTTGGACAGAATCTTCTCCCCTGAGCTTTGACACCCCTACCCACTCCTAACTAAGCACAGGCAGTTTGAATATCAGAGCAATGATATCACCCAGTTAGTGCTCACCCCATACTTATGCCCTCAGACAGTTTTTATCACACCTCTGGTTCCCACCAGAGGCCATGGCTGGTGTTGTGCCTCATGTCACAGCAGGACTCTTGCTCATGGTTTGTTTGATTTAGGAAATTAGGTTAAGATTAAGATTTAGAAAAAAAGCCATGAGGAGGGCCTCAGCTTCAGGAGCACTGTCCTTTTGTTTGTACTTGGTGTGTACAAAGTACCTTCAGTTTATTTGCACAAAGTAGTTTTAAAAAAAAATATCAAAAAAGGTTTCATGCAAACTGAAGAAAGTTGCCTTCTAGGTCCCGATATGACTCATAACCATATCTTATCAGTCTTTACAAGTCCATAATACAAACAGAAGGCAGAAAATATAAAACCAGGGAGGTGCTGATGTCTTTGGGGGAAGTGATTATTCCCTGTGGACGAGGGGATGGTGACTGTTGTCCACCCTGACCCAGTGGGGCTTTCGGCCTGGTTTCCCTTAGCGCCTGAGTGACCAAATGGGGCCACATGGACTGGCCGGGGGGCTGCAACACAGGTGTAAGGCTGGGCCACCGGGCTCCGGGGTGGCAACCAGCACCTCAGAGACTGTTCATGGGCCAGCTGTGGGTGGCCATTGCTGGGCCAGTACATTGTGTTTAGTGTCCTAATACTGATGCAATTAGGAGGCTGCACATGGAGTGGAGGTGAGGGAGGGGGCCTCCAGGTCGAGAGAAGCCATTATTTCCCTCTGTTGGGGCCTGTGAGGGTACGCAGGGAGGGCTGTGCCCAGAGCCTCCTCAGAGGGGCACAGCCAAAGCACAGGTTGTGAAAAGGGAAGTTCTCATCAGACATAGTGAAAAACCCTCTTCATAGCAGGAGTGTTGAAGCACTGTTACACGTTGCCCAGGAGGGGATGTGGAAGCCCAGTTTGAATACCCTTGGAGATACTCAAACCTCAATTGGACATGGCCCTTCCCTGAACATGATCTTACTCTTGGGTTCCTTCCCAAGCCACAGTCCAACCCACATAATTTTTTCTGGTTTTGTCATGTCTAACTCTCCTTTTCTTCTTTTAGTTTCCTATTTGTCTCTTCCTGACTTTATGTTGCTATAAGTTTCTCAACTTCCCTCCCTCCTGTTGTCCTACCTCAGATCCCCTCACAAACCCTGCTCTCCCTCCTTGTTGCTGCATCCACAGAAAGACAAAGCACCAAAACACAAGTCATCAAAGTTTTCAGCCTCTCCTAAACCTCCCCTTCTGTTGATCCAGGGGCCAGAGGGAACAGGCCAAATCCCTCCCACATGTACTATAAAAGATGAGGCAAAGACAGCCTAGGTGCCAGTGCTGTAGAGCTGTTCAGTTAGAGCTGTGAAAGGAGAGGAAACGCATCAGGGAAAACAGCCTTCTCCAAGGTAGTATTGGGAAACTGATTGTTCTGAGCAGTTTGGGAACAGTAAAGAGGAGAGCTGGGGAGTCAGACCACTCTTGGTCACCAGCTGCAAATCTGCAGCCTGTGCCCCTGCTTTCCCGGGTCACCAGGCTGCTGTCTCCTTGTAATACACTTCCTCTCTTTTATCTCAATGGGATTTTACTCACAGATGTATCTACTAAAATTCTGAAGCGCTCAAGGGGCTTAATAGTACAACGTTGATAAACATACCTGTATAAAAATAAGCATTGGGTCTGGGGTCACTCTCCCCATTGTGCAGCAGCACAGAAGCAGACTGCCTGGTTTCCAGGTACACATGGAGTTGTGTCAATCAAGCTATGTCTGATTTAATTCAAAATCTTGCCTATGAGAACCCATATGCACATGGGAAATTCAGAACTGTACATTATTTGGAAAACAGTTTGAAATGCTTTGAAAGTATATCCCCACAATGGTAATCTACTTGACTATGCAGCTCTGCTATGAG